AACATCTCCATGTCTCTAGCTCATCATCTCCATGTCTCTAGCTCATCATCTCCATGTCTCTAGGTCAACATCTCCATGTCCCTAGGCCAACATCTTCATGTCTCTAGCTCATCATCTCCATGTCTCTAGTTCATCATCTCCATGTCCCTTGGTCAACCACATTTGTCTCAAGGTCTGTCTACATAATTTATAAACCCCTGGGTGACATGAAAATACAGAATCCTTGCTTAAGTAATATTAAGAATTTCCTGATACTGACAGCAGATCATGGCCCTAGAAGCTAGGCCCTGTCTAGTCTAAGAAGCCAGCCTGGTTCAGAAGAACTAGAAAGATGGATGTGAGTGGAATTCAGGGGGAAGGTGGAATTCTGAAGGGCAGTTTGGAGGGTTGTTACTCAGGTAATTCATCTTAGTGTCTCCCCCTTGGAGTCTTGGGGTTGCTTTGATACAGAACTAAGTCATTTCTCTACTGTTACCCTCTCCCGAGCCACTCGAGAGCCCAGTGGCCTCATGCCCTACCTTAGGGGTCCTTCTGGTCTAGGCCTCTGTGATGTTGGGCCTGCCCTTCCAAGTCTCTTAAGACCTTTAGGAATGCCAAGAATTCTGGCTGTGTTTTGAATGTAGCATTTGGTAGTCTGTGTCTGTGCTCACCTCTTACTAGAACAACACATGTGGGGTCTGGGGTCACGCAATAATGGGGGACAGACCACCAGAGTCTATTAAACTAGAAGCAAACTTGGTTCCAAAAGAAAAAAAGAAGAAAAAAAAAATCACTGTGGGGCACAAGAGCTTATCAGCTAGCTGAGACCACAGCCAGAGTTGGATTTTGAGCCTGTGGCCATGGGGGCGGGTACTGGCCCCCTTTTTATAGTAAAGGGGAAAGCATCAGGCATGGGGTGCATGCTAGGAGTCATGTAGAAACATCTATTAAAAGTTAACTTTGGTCCAGGCACTTGTTGGCTATCAGGGGCAAGGGGGGTTAAAAGTTAACCCTTAGCTGTTAACAGAGGAGCTGGCTGTATGCAGAGCTCCATTGTTAGAAGTTAACCTTTGGAGCTCATGCCTGTCAGCTTTTATTTTATTTTTTTTTAAGATTTATAATTTTATATTTCTATATTCCTGGACCCTTCACACAGAGAAGGAAGAGGCATGGTAGGCCAGTCCTTTGAAAAAGTTAAGTTCTCAATCTAGTTGGGTATTAGCTACCTGATCCAATTTTTAATTTTTCTTTTAAAAGAAAAAAATTGTATATCTCAAGCATGAGCTCATTTTAAAATACACAGAAACCATTATAAACTTAATTTTGTACAGGCAAATTTTTGGCTGCCAACTCTGCGTGCAGAATGAATCATATTCCACAGTGCATCCAGGAAAAGCCGAGTGTGTCGGGAAACCACTTGGGCAGTGTGAACTCATTTTCTCACACATCTCTCTGACCTCCTCTGATGGTTTCGAGAACGCCAATAACAAATTATCTCATTAATCTCTAAGTATAAGTCAGTGGGCTATTACTGTACATCCTTCTGATATCCTAAAAGTAAAAGTAAACATATTCTAAATGAGCCAGCTCCAAATTGCCGGCTTTTCAGCTAAATGAACTTTTCACTTTCTTCAAGCAAAATGATTATATTCTAAGATAGATGGAATTGGAAACATTAACAAAATCAGGAAGAGAACCAGTACTCAAAGGGGCTTGGGGTAAAGGCAGAGTCGAACTCACGTCATGGCTCAACCACCTTTAGTCAGGTGACCTTGGGCAGGCCACTTACCTTCTTGGGACCTGACACCAGGTACTAGATGAGGAGGCGTTTGGATTCGCAGCTCAAAGTCTGCAGCTCAAAAAAAATTTGAAGATGAAAATAGAAAAGAGAAGCCCTGGGGCTGGAGAGATCGCTCAGCGGTTAAGAGCACTAACTGCTCTTCCAGAGGTCCTGAGTTCAATTCCCAGCAACCACATGGTGGCTCACAACCATCTGTAATGAAATGTCATCTGCAAGGACACTTGCAGGCAGAATACTATATACATAATAAATAAATATTTTTAAAAAAAAGAAAGAAAAAGAAAAGAAAAGAAAATCCCTGAGAGCAAACACTTGTAGAAGTGTGTGCTGTGCTGTGTGTGTGTGTGTGTGTGTGTGTGTGTGTGTGTATTCTTAAGTCTATTGGTACATGCATGTCTGAATGCATGTAGAGGTTAGAGATCAACCTTAAGTCCTTCCCCAGGTGTTACATGCCTTCAGCTCTCAGATTCATTGAGGCTGGGCGGCCAATGAGTCTTCAGGAACTTCCTGTCCCCCCTCTCCCAACACTAGGATTACAGCATAGACCACTAAACCCTTCTTTCTAGAAGGTTCTGGAGAGGAACTCAGGTCTTCATGCACAGCAAACATCTTACCAACCGAGTGACCTCTTTAATCCTCATTTCCATTCATATATTGCTTTTTGGGGATTTTTTTTTGTTTATTTATTTTATTTTATTTTTTCAGACAGGATTTTTCTGTGTAGCCCTGGCTGTCCTGGAACTTGCTCTGTAGACCAGGCTGGCCTTGAACTCGCAGAGCCCTGTCTTGCTTCTGCCTCTCAAGTGCTGGGATTAAAAACATGAAGGCATGTACCACCACCTCCTCCCCGCCACCTCACTTTTTTTTTCTTGACTTGTTTTATT